GAGAGATCTAATCAGTAGAGAGGTGCTGCAGCCAGTCGTTTTCTCTTTTTTCTCATTACGATTTTGTTTTTTTTTTTTTTTTAATTTCTCTGCACTGACAAAAACCTCTGTCTCTCTCTGTTTCCTTCTACTGTTTGAATTGTCCTTTTCATCATGAGGGGTAGTTTTGTCCAACTACTCTCTTTTTAACTTCTCGCGATATTTTAGTTCTTCACATTTACGCGCCAACCTGCCTTTTTGGCTGTAATTACTATTTCAAATGCCGCGCTTCTTTCTTATTTTTTACAAAAGAAAACTCGTGATTCACAATGTTATTATGAGTAAGTCCAAAATTATGAATAGAATTTTTTAGTTGGACTATGTTATTGCATGAATAATACTATATATTAACGTATACCCAATAAAATACTATACTATACTATTTAATCATTGGTATTTGCTATCTATATGGGTTATTTGTAATTTATTTAATTTATTTGACTTATAAAGTGTTTAATGAACTCTTGTAAATAAACTCTGATCATTAAAAAAAATTGACCAAAATTTAGAGATTTTTTATAAACTGAATAGCTTTGAAATACTTAATATTTTACTTAAGAGGAATGATGTTGTTGATAATATACTAAAGGAACTACTAAATTTAACTAAATAAACAACCAAATATCCTATTAATAAAGCTATAATTTGGATAGATAATATTCTAAAACATCTAATACAATAAACAAAAGAATCGTTATGGGTTTCTTATTTTATTAAATGATCCCACTTCAGAGTTGACTTGATAAATTAAATGGTATGGAAATGGAATTGCTTTAGTTTTGTCTTCAAATTCACTGACCTTGTTCCCATCAAAAGCTAAAGGCAATGGGCCTTCCTTCACAGATAACGCGGTGCGTGTTGAACACGAAATACAGCGATCAAACGCAATGCCCCTTTTAAATTCAAATAATCCCATCTCTTTCCCTGTCTGTCTTATCCTTTCCTACAGCAATTTTCTCGCTTTCATACTGCTGCCTGCCTTGTATCCCAATTATTTTCCATCCCCATATTTAACTTTATAATGACCTCGTTAAAAAGGGTTAGCTCACGGAAGCAGAACTTTTCTGTAGTTTAAAGCCCAGCCCAAGTGTCCATTGTTGTGTTAATACACGTAATTGTGGAAGAAACTATCCAAATCCTTTTTTCAACGCAACCAATCCATTCATTTGAAAAACTTGTAGAAATGTAGCACATGCTTTGAAGACAAATACACAATAAGAAGCCTAACGGAGAATTTTTGACCATTACTTGTTAATCCTATTCCTATTCACCCCACCAAACGAGATGAATAAGGATTACAGGATTACACGTGTGTATGAACTGTTGGATATAGTTTATACTTTTCTTAACCTCGATGGATTATCGACTCACGGTGATTGACTCATTTAGGAGTCTTAATGATTAATTGAGTTCAGAATTAGTTTGCTAGTATTTGGGCCTAAATTGGGTTAGAGTCAGGTAAGCTCAAATAGAGTTAAGTTTTCTATTATATGTTGAGAGAAGTATTGGGTATAGTGGTGTAATAATAACTTAGAATAGGAGCACGGGTATTCTCGTGATTGACAACTGGTCAAAGGATTCCTTCTTATAACTAGAATTTTGGGCAAAGCTTATATGCAACTTGTCGTTGGATATTAGGACTCTTGGGTGTATTACTCAAGAGATCATGAATTCGATTCACCTCGGTTGCTAATAAGGGTGGTCATTTGAACTTTTATCCAACCTATAGTTCTAGGGTCTCAGAGATTAGTTGATATATGCATAAGTTGGCACGAATAGCCCCGGTCATAAAATTTAAAAAAAAATAACCATTTTCATTTGTTTGATTATTAAGCACTCACAATTCCAATTCCAAAGTGGTGATGACCGGTTTGAAACTTATATTCACTAAGTTTAATAAGGCATAAGCAACTGCTTGCGCTTAATTATTATAATTTATTAATGTTTTTAGTATGTGAAGAGAGGTCGACCAAAAACTGCACCTTGAGGTGGGAATCTAGGCCTGGGCCCAAATGATCGACCCAAAAAATCAAACCCAAGACATCCTACTAAGGACCGATCCTATAAGGCCCGGACCAAGTCCAAGGAGGAGGGACCGGTCCTTGGTCCCAGGCTCGGGCCCGGGCCCGGACTCGGACTCGGACCTGGACCCGGACCCCGAACCCCCTCCCTAATTTCATTTAAACCCCTAGCAAATATCCATAACCCCCTATTTTATATGAAATTAACAATAAATATAAAGGTTAAAATGAAACTTTACAAAAAAAAAAAATAAAGAATTCAACTATTGCCTTAACGTGGTCAAGTAACCGTTGAGCCAACGATCAGCTAACCCCTTAAACCACCCATTTTCCTCACAACTCTCAATCTCTCATTCTCTACTCCAATTCTCAAACTATCTTCAATTTATATTTATATATATTCATCTATTTTTCATATTATTATTTATATTAGGTAATTTCTTCCATTTTTCAATTTCATCTATTATTCATATTATTATTTATATTATTCAATTTCTTCAATTTTAGTTATTTATTATTTTATTATAAATTCATAATGGATTCCCCAAATTATGCCCTAAATTAGTATTATGTTCTAGTTCCTCCATCTACCGAAGAAATGAAAAGGTTTGAACCATTTTCACCTATTCCCAAGATAGAAATTCCACGATTAGAAACGGTCAGAATTGCGTTTAGCCAAACACAAGTGAGCTGCGATACCACAGGAAGACCGTCAAAGAGGACTATGTCCGCTGTATGGCAATTCTTCACCAAATCAAAACAAGCAAAGCCAAATGGGTAGGGGAAAGAGACGTGCGGGGTATGTAATTTTTGTCCAACCGCTGAGCATAGGACTTCGACGATGCGGCGACACCTAAAGAAGAAGTAACCCCAATATATGCAGTCAGTTCAACTTCAACCGAACTTGGTAAACAAATTCAAACTCAACTTAATTTTAATCCACAATCCTCAACTCTCTCAACTTGGCAATACAGTGTTACCAAGCATTAGAGGAAATTAGAAGATACATAGTTGCTACGAACTCTCCCCTTTCTTTATCTGAAAATCTTTTTTTTTTTTTTTTATGATTAAAATTGTTTTTTGTCCACAATATAGCCCTGTTAGTAGAAGTACAAGTAGAAGGGACATACAAAAACTTTATACTAAAATAAGATATCAACTTAAAAAGAAATTTAAAAATTTTAGAAAAATATTTATTGCACTTACTTTAGACATATTGGCTGTTAGATCAAAAACCGATTTTTTTAGTGTCACAATATATTACCTAAATCATAGTTGGCATTTACAACAAAAATTGATAGGTTTTAAACCATTATATGCTAAACATAGTGTTGAGATTATTTATTTTACAATTATTAAAGTTTTGCAAAATTATGTATTCACTAAGAGAGTTGTGGTGCTAACGCTTGATAATGCAACTGTTAACACTGAGGCAATTTTTTTATTTGAAAAGAGATTGGATCCGCTTGGTGAACGAAATTTTTTTCACCATAGATGTGCTTACCACATTATCAACTTGATTGTTAAAGCAGGTTTAAAAGCTATACATGCGAGGATTGAAAGGGTGTGTGCGGCTATCGGATTCATCACCGGTAGCAATACAAGATGGAATGAGTATGTAAAATATTGTTACCAAGAGGAGCCATCGGTTCGACCAATGAAGTTATATATGGATATGTCTGTCCGTTGGAACTCCATGTACTTGATGTTACAAAAAGTTATGTCAACTGTAATACAAATTACAGAGTTTGTCTATCGAATGAAGTCGTCAACAATGATGATTGGACGGTTTGCATTGTTTTTCATTCATTTCTTAAAGTTTTTTACGATTCCACCAATACATTAAATGGTATTTATTATCTTACTACTAATTTAGCGTTAGATATTTTACTGCAAATTTCTAAAACTTTTGCTAAATATAGATATAATATAGACTTAATGAATATTGTTTTAGACATGCAAACAAAATACTAGAAATATTAGTTAGATATTTCATTCTTATACGGATTATGTCTTATTATAGATCTTAGGTTTAAACTAAACGTATTTAATTGTATGGTTACCGAGATAAGCCAGCATTCAAGACATGACTATAGTTATTATTTGATAGACTTTAATAGAAAATTGGAAAGCCTTTTTTCTTTATATCAGACTAGGTATAGTGGAATGCCCAGCATAGACGATCAGTAGGACGTCGATGAAGACATTTATTAACAAAGATCAAGCATGTAGACGTATATCGAACTTAGTAGTGGTGGTGGTGGAAGTAGTAGCTCTAGCTCGTATAGACATTGACCAAATGAGCTACAGCGATACCTACAAATGAACATGTCCTACATGACCAAGAAAGAGAAACGTGAGATGGATATGCCTTAATGGTGGAACCAAAATGCAAGTCGATTCTTCATTGTATCCCAAATGGCACGTGATATTTTATCCGTGCCAGTTTTGACAATTGCATTCGAGTCAACATTCTTAATTAGTGGCCAAATTATTGAAGATAGAAGATGCTATCTAACTAATTAGATGGTTGAAGTCATAACATGTTTACAAGATTGGACTCATATAGACAGAAGACTACAGCGACACCCTGAAGATCCCAAACTACTCGATCTCTTCAGAAACACAGATTTGGACGATGTAAATTAATAATTTAATAAAAAAATATATTTAATTATTTATTTGTGAAGTGTGAATATTATATTTATGTTAAATTAACCTATCTCTTTAAATTAAAACTATATAAATTTGTAACCAATTAACCATTCATTTATATACATATTTTATTATTTTTTTTTTTTTTGCCAAGTAAGTAAATTGTATAAAAAGAAGAAGGATAAATTTACAAAGGCCTACAAAAAAGGCGGGCAACCTACATAAGAACATTCCTTGTGTAGGGAGCAAAAAATAAATAAATGTCTAAGCTTGACATTACACAATTCTCTTGGAAGCCTATCTAAACCAACATGAGAGATAAGACTCAAGAGAAAGAATCTAACTAAGAAATCAACAACAAAACACCATCCTCTGGACAATCCGGTGGGTTGGCTCCAAAAAACACACACAATGAGACACAAAGAAGACTCAAAGCAGAGAAAACAAAGAGAGTGAGGATACACCGTGACAAAGTCTTCACAATAATAACGAGCAAGTTAGTAAGTCTCTCATCGAAAGATCAACATCTCACTCGATCAAATGTTCACCAATAACTCCGGGAGTGAAATGGGTGTCTTTGAAGATGGTTCAAGCCGCGTGAGAATCCTTGCTAAGTTCCATGACTTTGTCTCTCACCACACTTTTGATAGTATTGATAATAGTGTGAGAATCCTTGCACTCTCTCCCAAAGATCCTACAATTTCGCTCCCTCCAAACCCAATACCATTCATTTATATTTATTTACTAATTAATTACAAATTTTACAAATCACGCCCTAAAAAACTATATAAACCCGTTACATAATTTTTGATTTAGCCCTAAAAATATAAAAAAAAATTAGGCCCATGCCCATGACCAGTCCCTAGGACTGGTTCGGGCCTTGAGAATTTTCATGGGCCTGGACCAGTCCCAGCCTAATTGAGACCAATCCCATTGGGCCCAATCGTGGGCCCGGTTGGAACTAAGCCTTGACCACCTCTAACTGCACCAGGGAAGGGGGACCCAAACACAAAAGGTACACGAAAATGATGAAAAATCACTCTACCCTTCTCCTCATACGATTCCATATTCACATTAAACAGTAGAGGTAGAATAACTATCTCTAATTACTCCCTGTTTGCTTCATGCTTAAAATTTGAAAATGAATTCATTGTCATTTTATAGAAACAATATTTGAAAAAGAGCACGCCCCTACAAAAAGGGTGGTATTACTGTTGTAATGATCTTGAATTCATCTGATGAATACGCTTGACAACTACAAGGTTTCAAAATGGGTTCACTCAGGCAACGCAACGGCAAAAGGCACAAATCCATCAAGGATAGATAGTTAATGATGCAGCTAAATTTTAAAAAACAACCTCCCTTTAGCAGCTGGGGAATTGTATAACACAAATTCAATCAGACTTACCTTAGCATTTTTCTGCTTTTGCACCTATCTGAAGCACTTAAATTAGGATGCTTTAGGCAGCACGGAGAGAGCAGTGAATATTCAACTACTTGGTTTCTTCTCCCAAGTTACCCCTTTGGCAACTCATTAACCTGCAACTGATGATAAGCAAGACTCTACCAATGATGCTGAAATCTAACTGGATGGATCACAATTCAAACACATGCCTTACAAATAGACAAATCGGGTTAATGGTGCCTCCCAAACAATGGTTCTAAATCCATTGCTGACTGAGACAAGTGATAAACTGAAAAATAAAAAATCTACCTATCGAAAACTAGACGCATATATATTTTCTAAGAGGAATCTCTCTTTAAAAATTGGTTTACAGATAACTGCACTACAAAAGCAGCAAACAGTGGCCAAAGTAGAAGGATTCTGAAGTTTTGAGATAAAGGACTTGCTGGCATCATTTGACTGACCTTCTTTCTTCAATTCGTACATGAAGCTCATCGTAAGCCTGTTTGGAGTTGGCAGCAAATTTCTCAATGGCCATGAAAATCTGTTTTAGACCAGACTGCATACTACCACTCCCTTCCCTAGCCAATAGAATCATCCTTTTGTCTCGAGCTTGTATGACCTTTTGGATCTTTTGCTCCTCCCTCTCCGAGGTCTTAACTTGTCTTTCCACATCCTTGTTGGCAATTACCATTTGCTGCAGGTCTGCTTTATGCCGCTCCAAGAGTTGATTTACACTTGCGGAGAAACCATAAATGGCTTCAGTCACTTCTTTCTCTGATAGTTTATCCATGGCTTGTGACCACTGATAAGCTATAACAAACACAGGGGGTGCTCCAACCCTACCAGGAGAGAAGGGCACTATACCATCAGGAGTTACCTCAGGATCATATCGAAGACATTTCATTAGCCAACCATTCAAGGCTTTGACATAACTTTTTTGTGCTTCAATCCAATTGGAGAAGTTTAGGTTACAATTTTGTAGCTCAAGCTTGAGTTTTATTGCAGATTCAAGATGAGCATGGTCAAGCTTTGCATTTGATGCAATGACATCTAAACCTTTGGCTTCTAAAACTGTTTGGGACTGACACCTATGACATTCAAGCATAGCTTTCCACATTTCAAGCAACCTGCTGACACCATAAATAGATCACAGTTAAACAAAATAAAAGCATCAGCCGCAAGAAAACTTCAATCTAAAAGTTGTCACATACCATTGAAACTGAGGAAAGGAGAAAAGGAAAAAGAAAAAAGAAAAAGTGGTCAGATAGATAGAAACCATCTCATTTAGGCAATAAGAAGTGCATGCACCTTCAATCACAAATGGGGAAAAATAAATCAAATCTTCATATAAAGCTAAGCACAGTTGATTCTTCCATTACCAATGTTTAATCAAGTTCCTAGTAGTGCAAACAAGACAAAAGGAATAGACACAGTAATCTAAAACTTAAATAATCATGTACCTCTGAACCAACTCCCTGATGTGCAGCCACAATTCTTCATCCCTCAACTTATTTATAGAAATAGACATCTTGTCAATGACTTGAATTGCAATTTTGATCCTAGTAGATAAATTCCTGAGCATTGTTCGAGCCGCGTCAACTTTAAGAGTTTCAGCACCCTTCTCATCCATACTTTTCATCTGCCTACACTTCCTCGCATAAAGTAGGCGCAATTTCTCCTCAGCCTTCAAACACAAAGAACATTATCTTAATTTTCATGTCCAAACTAAAGGAGACAAAAGACAGAAGAGATCCGACAGAATGTAGTATTCTGATGCTTGCTTTAGTCATTACCAATGGAGAAAAATATTGCAATTTTCACTTGTTATATTAACGTTAATACTTAATATTCATGCTCCGCCTTCTGGCCATGATTTTCTTTTAGCCAAAAATTGTAATTTTCCTAGTTCATTATAGAGATATTTCACAGCATTTCTTCCAACAGCCTAAAACATAGAGGTAACGAAAGATTATTTTGAACGGTGTCTTTTGGATGGAAGGTACAGCTTTGGCTCATCAACGGGTGATTTGAAGTCCCAAAATCAAACAAAAGTTATCACCCTGAGATAGCAGAATGATGGAAAAAGGACATGGTGTCCATACTTTGTTCTCACAAAAAATTGAGTTGAGAGGGCAGAAATATGCACTGGTAGTATGTGAATTAGATGAATTTAAAAAACAAATAAGTAAAAAATTTCAATTCATGGAAAACTTCTAGAGTATATTGACTTGATCATTTCACCATAATTACAGAAACATTCCGAAGGAGTTTTTCCCCCTCTAATTTATTTGATACAAAACAAACTCAAATATATAGATATAAAAATGTTCAGAATCGTCATAAAAATTGAGAAATTTTTAACAATTTGAATTTGCAGTTAATATAACAGAATTGATTCAAAGTTTGCTCATCAACATATAATTCAAAAAAAGTTATAGTTGCTATGAACCATCAACATCAAACTTTGAATTCACCGACAAATTCCTCTGTTCACTGATTTAGCGAGAATCACAAAAAGGCAAAGGCAAATACAAATTTAAAGAAACTTGGGTTGGACCACTGTAAAGGCAGGCATACCTTAACTTCATCATAGAGTTTTCTCTCCCACATGCACAGTTTCTTCAGAGTTGCTGTCAGATTTTTTGAATTCAGAACCACATCATCCTCCAAACCTTGATAATTGAAATGTGTAGATACCACCATTCTCGATGGACTCACCGCGTGCAACATCTTGGATGATACTACAAAAACAATAAGGTTTAAACACTTATTAACGAATTCAAATCTCCAAAATTCTTTGTTACTGAACGAACTAGAGATTACCTTGACCGTAGACAGAAAATTTGTGATGATAACGAAATTTACCGGTGTCAAACATTTTCAAAACTTCATTACCAGACTCTGATGCTCTTTCAAACTGAACCTGTACATCTCTCATAACCTCGGAGACACCCCATTGACCATTTTGACCACTACTCTTTGATTCAGGCTCCACCGACCGCTCTTTCTCTGAAACGACCTTCTTTTTCTCCACGTCATCACCCTTCTCTTTCACCAAAGTGGGCACGACGTTATCATTTCCTGCTGAAATGTGTTCGTGTTCTTGTTTTTTCTCGTCAGTTTCTTTGTCCTGTTGTGGATCGCGAGTAACACCGTACGGATTTTCGTATTTCTCGAGTGGCTCAAAGAAGTTCAAGAAATCCCAAGCGGAGCCACTCGGAGTTGGAGGCGGTGGCGTTTTGGACGCCCAATCACGACCACTCATTTCACCATTATGCCGGTAACTTCTAGAATTATCGTTATAATTCATAGCCATGAATGTATTAAAATAGTTCGAATGGTTATGGTTAAACGAGTCGAAATCTTTAATTCTATCTTCATCCTCAGAGTCGGAATCGAAATGAATATGCGAATCTGAGGTTAAACTCGACGGCGACAGGTCAGGTGGAGAAGATTTTGATGATTTGGCAGGATCATCGTTGGATGGAAAATTAACGTCCTGGTGGTCGATGAACTGGTGAAGAGTAGAACCAAGCGTCTTGAGAGACTGCATATAGGCCACGTGTGCATCGGCAAGGGCATAGCTATGGTATAGCGCGTCTTCAAGGAAGTTGCAGCGGTCACGGCACAGAGCGACGGCTGGGAGGCCATCGAGCTTTGACGTGTTGCATCCCATGACTGAGACGCGGTTCTTGAAGAAGAAACAGCGGTGGCTACGGACGGTTTAATATCTCTCGGAGAATTTGATTACGCATTTAAGGTGGTGCGTAAAGGAGTTATGAGAGAGAAGGAGAGTGTAGTGGACTCTGATTTTTATACAGGCAAAAAGTAGTGGCGGGATTTTCATAACGTCTCTTTAATAGTTTTTGCCTTTTTGCCCATGATTTTATTATTATTTTATATCTAAACATAGTGTTGAGATTATTTATTTTCAATTATTAAACTTTTGCAATTTGTATTAACTAAGAGAGTGTGGTGCTAACGCTTGATTGACAATTTCTTTATTTGAAAAGAGATTGGATCTCGCTTGGTGAAGACACTTTTTTCACCATAAATGTGCTTCCACATCATCACTTTGATTGTTAACAGGTTTAAAGCTATACATGCGAGATTGAAAGGATGTGGCGGCTATCAGATTTCGCCGGTAGCAATACAAGATGGAATGAGTATGTAAAATATTGTTCCAAGGAGCCATCGGTTCGACCATGAAGTTATATAGGATATGTCTGTCCGTTGGAACTCCACTACTTGATATTCAAAAAGTTGCCAACTGTATAACATTACAGAGTTTGTCTACCGAAGAAGTCGTCAACATGATGATTGGACGTTTGCATATTTTTTCATTCATTTCTTAAGTTTTTTACGATTCCACAATACATTAAAGTATTATTATCTTACTACTATATTTAGCTTAATATTTTACTCAAATTTCTAAAATTTTGCTAAATAGATATAATTGACTTAATGATATTGTTTTAGACATGCAAACAAATACTAGAAATATTAGTTAGATTTTCATTCTTATACGGATTAGGTCTTATTGTAAATCTTAGGTTTAAATAAACGTATTTAATTGTATGGTTACGAGATAACAGCATTCAGACATGACTTAGTTATTATTTGATAGACTTTAAAAAATTGAAAACTTTTTTTCTTTATATCAGACTAGGTTAGTGGAATGCCCAGTAGAGACGACTAGTAGACCTTGATGAGACATTTATTAAAGGATCGAACATGTGGACGTATATCGAACTTAGTAGTGGTGGTGGTGGAAGTAGTAGCTCCAGATCGTATAGACATGGACAAATGATTGCAGCGATACCTAAAATGGACGTCCTACATGACCAAGAGAGTGAGATAGATATGCCTTAATGGTGGAACCAAAATGCAAGTCGATTATCTATTGTATCCAAATGACACGTGATATTTTATCTGTGCCAGTTTTGACAATTGCATTCGAGTCAACTATTCTCAATTAGTGACCAAATGTTGAAGATAAAGATGCCTTTAATCATTAGATGGTTGAAGTCATAACATTTTACGGGATTGGACTCATGCAGACAAGACTATAGGACACTCTGAAGACTCAACTACTCGATCTCTTAAAAACACAGATTTGGGATGTAAATTAATATTTAATAAACAATTTATTTAATTATTTATTTGTGAAGTGTGAATATTATATTTATGTTAAATTAACTCTCTCTTTAAATTAAACATAATAATTTAAAACAATTAACCATCCTTTATATACATATTTTTTTTTTTTTGCAAGTAAGTAAATTGTATAAAAAGAAGAAGAAATTTACAAAGGCGGCCAACCTACATCAGGAACATTCCTGTAGGAGCAAAAATAAATAAATGCTAAGCTTGACACTACACAATTCTCTTGGAGCCTATCTAAACCAACGGGAGATAAGACCAAGAGAAAGAATCTACTAAGAAATCAACAACAAAACACCATCCCGGACAATCCTGGGTCTTGGCTCCAAAAACACAACAATGAGACACAAAGAAGACATAAAGTCAGAGAAACAAAGAGAGTGAGGATACACCAACAAAGTCTCACAATAACAACGAGCAAGTCATAAGTCTCTCATCAAAAGAACAACATCTCACTCATCAAATGTCACCAATAACTCGGGAGTGAAATGGGTGTCTTTGAAGATGGTTAGAGCCGTCGATTGGAAGATTTATTGGCTAAGTTCCATGACTTTGTCTTTCACCACACTTTTGATAGTATTGAAATAGTGAGAAATCCTTGCACTTTCCTCCAATCCTACAATTTCTCCCTCCAAACCCAATACCATTTCTTTTATTTTACTATTAATTAATTTTTACAAATCACCCCTAAAAATTACATAAACCCCTACATATTTTTATTTAGCCCTAAAAAATATAAAAAAATTAGATGCCTAATGTATTTCAGGCCCATGCCCATGACCAGTCCCTGGACTGGTTCGGGCCTTGAGAATTTTCATGGCTTGAGACCAGTCCCAGCCTAATGGGACCAATCCCATTGGGCCCAATCGTGGGCCCGGTTGGAACTAAGCCTTGACCACCTATAACTGCACCAGGAAGGGGGACCCAAACACAAGGTACACGAAAATGATGAAAAATCACTCTACCCTTCTCCTCCTACGCTTCCATATTCACATTAAAGATAGAGGTAGAATAACTATCTCTAATTACTCCCTGTTTGCTTCATGCTTAATTTGAAAATGAATTCATTGTAATTTATAGAAACAATATTTGAAAAAGAGCACGCCCCTACAAAAAGGGTGGATTACTGTTGTAATGATCTTGAATTCATCTGATGAATACGCTTGACAACTACAAGGTTTCAAAATGGGTTCACTCAGGCACAGCACGCACGGCAAAAGGCACAAATCCATCAAGGATAGATAGTTAATGAGGCAGCTAAATTTAAAAACACAACCTCCCTTTAGCAGCTGGGGAATTGTATAACCGCAATTCAATCAGACTTACCTTAGCATTTTCTGCTTCTGCACCTATCTGAGCACTTAATTAGGATGCTTTAGGCAGCACAGAGAGAGCAGTGAAATTCAACTACTTGGTTTCTTCTCCCAGTAACCCCTTTGGCAACTCATTAACCTGCAACTGAGATAAGCAAGACTCTACAATGATGCTGAAATCTAACTGGATGGATCACATTCAAACACAGCCTTACAAATGACAATCGGGTTAATGGTGCCTCCCAAAACATGGTTCTAAATCCATTGCTGACTGAGACAAGTGATAAACAAAAATCTACCTATCAAAACTACAACGCATATTATTTTCTAGAGGAATCTCTCTTTAAAAATTGGTTTACAGATAACTGACTACAAAGCACAAACAGTGGCCAAAGTAGAAGGATTCTGAAGTTTTGATATGAAGGACTTGCTGGCATCATTTGACTGACCTTCTTTCTTCAATTCGTACATGAAGCTCATCGTAAGCCTGTTTGGAGTTGGCAGCAATTTCTCAATGCCCATGAAAATCGTTTTAGACCAGACTGCATACTACCACTCCCTTCCCTAGCCAATAGAATCATCCTTTTGTCTCGAGCTTGTATGACCTTTTGGACTTTTGCTCCTCCCTCTCCGAGTCTTAACTTGTCTTTCCACTCCTTGTTGGCAATACCATTTGCTGCAGGTCTCTTTTATGCCGCTCCAAAGTTTGATTACACTTCGGAGAAACCATAAATGGCTTCAGTCACTTCTTTCTCTGATAGTTTATCCATGGCTGTGACCACTGATAACTATCACACACGGGGGTGCTCCAACCCTACCAGGAGAGAAGGGCACTTACCATCAAGTTACCTCAGGATCATATCGAGACATTTCATTAGCCAACCATTCAAGGTTTGACATAACTTTTTTGTGCTTCAATCCAATTGGAGAAGTTTAGGTTACATTTTTGTAGCTCAAGCTTGTTTTATTGCAGATTCAAGATGAGCATGGTCAAGCTTTGCATTTGATGCAATGCTCTAACCTTTGGCTTCTAAAACTGTTTGGGACTGACACCTATGACATTCAAGCATAGCTTTCCACATTTCAAGAACCTGCTGACACCATAAATAGATCACAGTTAAACAAAATAAAGCATCAGCGCAAGAAACTTAATCTAAAAGTTGTCACATACCATTGAAACTGAGAAAGGAAAGAAAAAAGAAAAAAGTGGTCAGATAGATAGAACCCATCTCATTTAGGCATAAGAAGTGCATGCACCTTCAATCACAAATGGGGAAAATAAATCAAATCTTCATAAAGCAAGCACAGTTGATTCTTCCATTACCAATGTTAATCAAGTTTCTTATCCTATTCCTATTCACCCCACCAAACCAGATGAATAAGGATTACAGGATTACATGTGTGTGTGAACCGTTGGATATGGTTTATACTTTTCTTAACCTTGACGGATTATCGACTCATGGTGACGACTCATTTAGGAGTCTTAATTATTAATTGAGTTTAGAATTAGTTTGCTAATATTTGGGCCTAAATAAGGTTAGAGTTAGGTAAGCCCAAATGGGGCTAAGTTTTCTATTATATGTCGAGAGAAGTACTTGGTATAGTGGTGTAATAATAAGTTAGAATAGGATCATGGGTATTCTCATGATTGAAAGTTGCTCAAAGGATTCCTTCTTATAACTAGAATGTTGGGCAAAACTTATATGCAACCTGTTGTTGGGTATTAAGACTTTTGGGTGTATTACCCAAGAGATCATGAATTCGATTCACCTCGGTTGCTAATAAAGGTGGTCATTTGAACTCTTATCCAACCTATAGTTCTAGGATCTTGAAGATTAGTTGAAATATGCACAAACTAGCTCGAACAGACCCGATCATAAAATAAAAAAAAAAAAAAAAAAACCATTTTCATTTGTTTGATTATTAAGCACTCACAATTCCAATTCCAAAATGGTGATGACTAGTTTGAAACTTATATTTACTAAGGGGTGTTTGTCTAAGCTTATAAACTGGTCAAACTAGTTTATAAACTCTAAAATTAAGCTGACCTGTTTGTTTATAATTTTTTTGAACTTATAAGTCAAAAAAAAAATAAGTTGGGGGGAGGTACCTTTTTTTTTTTTTTATTTATTTATTTTTTTTATTTTATAAGCAGAGTTTGACCAAATATATTATCACATTATCCTTGTTTAATTTTAAAATTTTATAGTATACCCTTGTTTAATGTAATACCGTTTTTAGTCATTTTAAATTAAAATGTACTTATAAGTCATATTTTACCAAACATTTTAACT